GACCAAGTGGAGCGTCCGTTTTGTTTGCGGGATGTATAAATGCGCAGTCTTGTCCGATCGTAATGGGGACGTTAAATCCGATTCCTCGCGTATCTTTACGCTCTCTGCACATGAAATAATCCTACCAACAATTCTTTGAGGGGTTCTTAGAAGGACATTGCTTGGCACAATTTCTATTCCTATTAAGCATACCCTTATTTTCCAGTTACAGTCCAAATTTCATGCCCTACAAACCTGTCAACCCCTACCATGCAGAATCTACTAATGTATAAATTGTTAAATTGTTCTCGTCTTAAACACACGTGAAATAGTTGCCACTGAAATATTTTAGAGCAAACATCAACCAACAAATTATGTATAACAGATTGTATAAAATACTGTCAACGTCTATCATTTCCGACTTACGGAAGTTCCCCTGGGAACTTTGTTATAAACAATGCCATAATATCTGTTCCTATCGGAACAAATATTATATACCTTGCATTTCGTAAATATTCTAGAATTTTTCTTCCATTTGTAACTTATATTATGAGGGAACTTCTATTTCTTGTCAGAACTTGCCATCGATGTATTTTTTGGGGAAGTTATGTACAAGTAACCATTTAGAAAATGTTGCTTAACTAGTTCATTCTTACTGACAGCATAAGGAAATACAAGCACATAAACTACCACAATTACAGAACTTTATACTCCTAATTCTATTCAGTAATCTTTCAGAAATGTGTATGAAATGTCGAAAATATACTTATAGTTTTGAAGTTTTAAAGCAAACGATCCGAGACTTTGGGAGACACCGATGTCCATACAAAGGAAAGTGTATCCGGATACTGAAGTGTACGCAAGAAAGCGTCAAAACAAAAAAATAATTATTTTAAATAACTATTTAAATATCCAGCTCAAAAGGGGGTGATAAACTTTTAACCTCCCTCTCTTCGTCTGTCTGTCTGTCTGTTTGTAACATGTTTCTGTAGCAATTTCCTTAGCAATAACAAGCCATAGCTTCCTGATATATGGCACTTCGCCTAATTTCTACCGTACAGTGCGACACGTTTTCGGTTCCTACAATATTTTACAACCTATTTGTCAAAAATGTATATCTTTAACTTCAAAAAAGAATCAATAACATTGAGCGGGGTATGACTTTCGAGCACTTACATCTTGCGATAACAAGAAGAACGAACCTATAAATGATTTTTACTTTTATCAGTTGAACAAGACAGTTACCAATCACCAATTAGCCGACATGCATTTCATACCAATTAATATATCAAAAACATATCTACTTGTCTCTGGTGGTAAGTTGTCTCATTGGCAATCATACCACATCTTCTTATTTTTATTTGTAAAATGTCCTTTCAATTATCCAGTCAAATGTTAGTTACCTTTCTAGAGTCATACAGCAACTACAATGCGTTAGGTTGTCACTTGAAAATCATTCGGAAACGTAAAGTTTGGAAAACTAAAAACTGAAGCCTTTCAGAGCGTAAAAAACCAACAAGAAGGTCAAAGCACAATAGCCTAATCCGTGTTTATTAAATAAGATAATAGAAAAAATATTATATTTGATCTGGATAGAGTTTATCGTACCATGTGACCGTATGGTGCTAATTGTTGGAAAACAAAAACTGCTTCATTAATTACAAACCGTGATAGATCCTTTACTATCACTATATGTAACTGAATATTATCTCGATAATGAAAGAATTTATTATAAATTTCTGCTCTGCAGGTGAACTCTTAGTCGCGAATGGTATCACCGGCACAGTAGCTAAGTACTTCGGTACTGGCATAAAATACGGATATTGTTTTATCTAAATTTCCTGTTGTCATACTTAGGAAATCATTTGAAATAAAGGATCTCCCTCATGCAGAGCTCTGATTTCCTGTCCGCGTTATCCTATTTTTTTGGTCTTTTTTTATTCCACCAGCTCTTCTTCGCCCGTATTAAGTTTTGAATTTGCAAATATTTGACACCGAACATCATTAAAGAGACATTTTTGTCTAAATGCACAGCTGATGTAGTAGAACTGGTATCGTTTTATGTTGTTCGCTATACATTATGTACTATATTGTGCCTTCTACAGTAAATCTTTATGTTAAACCTGCATTGAAGGTTGTTATTACAAGATTCTTATCTAATCATACGTCACAATAAGTTTAATATGATATTGTTGATTTTCAAAGTTTCTATAAAAAGTTGTTGATAACTTCTTATACAATTTCAAGAAAATTCGTAGAAACGTTTTCATTGGTGAAGCCTATCTACATTTGAAGATTGCTTATTTAATTTGTAGACATAATTGTCTTCTTTTTATGTTTTAATTGCTTAATTTGAAAACATCTGGATAAGACATACGTTTTTCCCCGGAGAGACATGCATAAGGCGCAAAGATTGCACATGATTTTCACAAAGTAGTAGGGAATCGATATTAGCTCTTAACTGCATAACATTACTTTCACTTACGAGGGAATTAGTCTATTATACTAGGAACTTAAACATGGAAATAAATGATGCCTACAGAATTTAAACATTTTAAAATATAACGTCTGAATGGCCCTCAGAGAAAACAAAAGATTTCAAAACTCGTTAATGAACAGAAAAAAAAACTATTTGGGGTATTTAAATTGTCTTTGTCCCTCAGTTGCACGGCTTTTTGTTTAGCTCAATTAATGCCTTGCATATGCCGTCTCCTCAAACGAAATAACTATCATGTTTTAAAACCATTAACAAATGCGTTCAGATGAAAGATTAATTAGCAAAAGTATTTTACAAGTATGCAATATTTCAAGTTAGTTTTTACATATGCCAATCATGACCACACGTGATCGAGTAAATAAGTATTAAAAATTAACAACAGACGACAGCCTGCACGTGTAGCGTATTCCGCACATTTTGTAAATGAAAGAAGGAGCAAATACCCTTAGCTCTAGTAGTACATTGAGACAATTAGAGATTCTGTTAAGTTAAAGTAATTTACTTACCAAAGGATAGTTGATATCTCAATATACATTCAATACATGACAAACTAACATTTAGTAACGTCAGAGAAATGGTGAAAATAATTCCAGGAACTTTGAAAAAAATGTCTTTACTTAAACCCGGCGGTCACTATCAAAGTTTTTCATCAAAAGTTTGGTCCAAGAAAAAACTGCACTGTGATTAGACAATTCCCGTCCAAGTCCATCCAGATTCTAAGAAAAATAAGATGAGATTCCATTCCATCTACATGTAAGTCGTATCACTATCAAAGTTTTTCATAAAAAATTTGGTCAAAGAAAAAACTGCACTGTGATTAGACAATCCCCGTCCAAGTCCATCCAGATTCTAAGAAAAATAAGATGAGATTCCATTCCATCTACATGTAAGTCGCATCACTATCAAAGTTTTTCATCAAAAATTTGGTCAAAGATAAAACTGCACTGTGATTAGACAATTCCCGTCCAAGTCCATCCAGATTCTAAGAAAAATAAGATGAGATTCCATTCCATCTAAGTCGTCAAAGTTTTTGATCAAAGTTTACTTTGACGGTTGCAACTATAAAAAAAAATCCATCAAAAACCTTGACCAAGAAAATTTGTACAAGAAATCTTTCCTATTGTTAATAATCCATTTTTAGATGGTGACATTCTCTTGGCACCATCTTATGGTGTTAATATATTTCAACTTGATTTTAACATGATGTAGACATAATCTTTCGAACAGTTTAATTAAGGTCTGGAGCTGGCATGTCAGTAACTACTAGTATTCCTTTGATAAATTATGTTGATTATTGTCATTTCGCTTAGTTTCTTCTGTTACCTATTCTAACATCGGACTCGGACTTCTTTTAAACTGAGTTTGACTGTGTGTATTGCTGTGTGTTTGTTTATTTCACACTGGTTAGAGGCATTGGGGGAGGGTTTAGATCTCACAAAACATGTTTAACCTTGCTGCATTTTTGCGCCTGTCCCAAGTCAGGAACCTCTGGCTTTTGTTAGTCTTGTATGTTTTTTAAATTTTGGTTCATTTATATGTTTCGGAGTTTAGTGTGACGTCCATTTTCGCTGAACTAGTATACATTACTTTTAGGGGCCAGCTGAAGCCCGCCTCCGAGTGCGGGATATTCTCGCTGTGTTGAAGACCCATTGATGGCTTAGGGCTGTTTTCTGCTCTTTGGTCGGGTTGTTGTTTCTTTGACACATTCCCCGTTTACATTCTCAATTTTATTTGATAGTGACAACGGGCCTTTAGGGCCAACTATTGTTTTGCATGGAATGAGAACGACACACAAACAGTCGTCTTTAATGTTGGAGTGATCTATATACTTTTCGCAGTGAATCATAAATCAGGCATATATTTTATGTTAAGTGTTGAAGTAAATATAAACCAGATTCCAACACATTATAAGATACTGAATTGTTTTAATTATCTTATATCTTCTTTGCCCATCTACAACAAAAATGTAAAACCACAGGGTTCTTCATTTAACAGTCGTTAGTGCTTGACAAAAATATTTCTTTACTTTATCGTTTATATTTTTTTATATTTCTATTGTAATGTTATTGGATGCTAATGACATTACAGGCCGATCTGGAAGATTTAAAAAATAATTTAATGTACTCGAAAAAAAATCGTGTAATTTTCTGGGCTTTTCATTTTCCACTGTTACTATATATCGACATATACTTTACATTATACGGTCTTTAATTTTCCCTCATTCACTGATATATGATACGCATAAAGGACAACAGGGGTTAAATATTGGACGGACCACTACCAGCACCAGACTCATTTTAGGCTGAGAGGCACGCACAAACATAGGCAAATAACAACGAAATAATATGTTAGGCACATCATGCGATGTTGCATCATGTATTTAGTAACCGTTTAACACAGTACCACAAGATATTAATCCTGTCTTAAAGACAAGCGCATTGAACAAGTATTATGATAAATCAAAAGACTTGGTGATACCAAAATTAAAGTTTTTTAAGAATCATAACTTTTTTTATTTTTGCAGGATGATAGACCAATCAGATCTCAGCGGTAATAACTGCACGTCTTTTATCAATATTGTATGGATTACAATTGTTTTTGTCTTGAATGCTTGTACTTGTGCTGATTACACACGAATACGTAAGTTAGTGACATTATGCTTCAATTGTCGAAATTAAATTGTCAAGTTTAACTCTAATTTGAATCTAGAATCAACGATAGCATTGCTATATCCTCTTTTTATGTTTAGACGACTCAAAACTACGGTATATATTATTTCTGTTCCATATTGTCAACATGCCATTCTTGATTAGTAAAATATGTTCTGGTTCAGCGTCTATAGATATAGGAAGATGTGGTCTATGCCGTTTATTCGTGTCTCAAATGAAACAATAAGCAGCGCGTACTGTTTTGCTTTGCGATGTCACATACAGAGATGTGTTCTTCACTAGAAAAATAACTCCTTGATTCATAAGTTCATGTTGGCCACGGCCTCCGTTATGAGTTTATATTGAAAGATCGTTGCAATGTCTAAACTGTGCACTGCTATAAGATTTTTAATTTACAACAATATACGTTCCATATAATGACTCTCTCATGATTCGTGATCAATGTAAAAATACCGAATTAAGTGAATTGAATTACTTTATGGGGTTAGCCTTAAAGGTAATTGCTCATAGCCAAATGATGGAGAACTAAAAATGCATAACATTAAAAGAAAGCGATATGTTAAACAAGGATCTTTAGAAATAACCATATCCCTCTGCGACTTGGTTGAGTGTATATATATATATATATATATATATATATATATATATATATATATATATATATATATATCTGCTTTTTAGTCCCCTACCGACGAAGTCGAAGGGGACTTTATGTTTGCACTCTGTCCGTCTTCTGTCTGTCTGTCTGTCTGTCTGTCCATCCGTCAGTCCGGCAAATCAGTTTTCCACATTTTTTTTCGTGCTTTAAGATATTGATTTGATATTTGGTGTATTGTTTAATCATGACAAGTTACAGATCAAGTTCGAATTTTGTTCCTGTCTGACGATTTTGTGCAGAGTTATGGTCCTTGAACTTAGAAAACTCACTCAAATAATCAGTTTTCCGCACTTTTTTTTGTCTTGCTTGAAGATATTGATTTGATAATTGGTGTATAGTTTTATAATGACAACTTACAGATTAATTTCGAATTTTGTTCCGATCTGATGATTTTGTGCAGAGTTATGTTCCTTGGACTTAGAAAATTCACTCAAATAATCAGTTTTCCGTACTTTTTTATGTCATGCTTGAAGATATTGATTTGATAATTGGTGTATTGTTTAATCATGACAAGTTACAGATCAAGTTCGAATTTTGTTCCTGTCTGACGATTTTGTGCAGAGTTATGGTCCTTGAACTTAGAAAATTCACTCAAATAATCAGTTTTCCGCACTTTTTTTTGTCATGCTTGAAGATATTGATTTGATAATTGGTATATAGTTTTATAATGACACCTACTTACAGATCAAGTTCGAATTGTGTTCCGATCTGATGATTTTGTGCAGAGTTATGTTCCTTTGACTTAGAAAATTCACTCAAATAATCAGTTTTCCGTACTTTTTTATGTCATGCTTGAAGATATTGATTTGATAATTGGTGTATTGTTTAATCATGACAAGTTACAGATCAAGTTCGAATTTTGTACCTGTCTGACGATTTTGTGCAGAGTTATGGTCCTTGAACTTAGAAAATTCACTCAAATAATCAGTTTTCCGCACTTTTTTTTTGTCATGCTTGAAGATATTGATTTGATAATTGGTATATAGTTTCATAATGACAAGTTACAGATCAAGTTCGAATTTTGTTCCAATCTGATGATTTTGTGCAGAGTTATGTTCCTTGGACTTAGAAAATTCACTCAAATAATCAATTTTCCACACTATTTTTTCTGTCATGCTTGAAGATATTGACTTGGTATTTGTTATATAGTTTACACCATGACAAGTTATAGATCAAGTTAGTATTTTGTTCCAGTACAATGAATTTTTAACCGGTAGGGGACTATGTATTGCCAGGCAATACTCACAGAATGCTTGTTTCAGTATTTATTCGGACCAAGATGTTGCTAGAAACCAAAGTATACATAATTTGCTTTAAAAAAAGAAAAGAAATATCAAATTAATAATCAGACCATACATACAAGAATTAATACCCAAAAAACGAATACAATAACTTAACTTTAAAAAAGAGGATGAACCATGGTAAGCAGTTGTTGCTTATTATGTCATGTTCGTTAATTGTCATTCATAGACAATAACAGATGTGAAAAATTGTTCTTCTGGTCATGAAATAATACTCGAGAATACATATCTACTCATATACTTTGTCTCCATTTTGGTAGTAACCAAATTTTTCATTATGCCTCTCAGTTGAAAGCAACAAATAAACAATAAAGTGATTTTTTAGTACAAACAGCTTGGATAACTTAGAAAAATCCCATTATATACAATATGACTTTATCAGCTAAATTACATATTATTTTATTTTAACAGTTGATTTTATTTCCCCGATAGTAAGAGATACCCGATCCACACTGTTTATTATTGTACTAGACCGGGAAGTGTCAGCAAGGTCGAATTAATCATTTGGTTTTACTTCTTTACCAATTAGACCAGTCCTGGAACTAATTTTAATTTAATTACACTGCATACTGCGATTCTGAGAGTTCTGACATCACTATTTCCATCTTTTGTTATGCGTAAGCTGTTCTATTACTTAATCTGTTTTTGTATTTTATATCTTTCTTTAACCAGATTTATCATTTGTCTTAAGTTTATGGCGATTGCAATGCATCTTTCAGGTGCCATGCCTGGCTTAACATAAGCAAATATTTGATGGCATTTTTGGCATACGCACGAAGGATTAATTCGTTTGCTGTGATTTGCTTCGAAGGTTCATGCGTGCATTTCAATTCGGCGAATACAAGTTGAAAAGAACTAAACAAAAAACTTTATTAATGATGTTGACATTTTCATTTTGTTTATTTATGTATTTTTATTCTATCAGGCTTATATCATTACCATCTCAGTCTGCTTTATATTTTTCAGTCTTTTGATTAAAGCGAAAGTACGTAAGCAATGTGGCCAACATTTTTCATGACTCTTTCATGACTTAATCTGAAAGACGATGAAACTACTTTGAATATTGATATTGTGTGCTTGAATAATATTTCAAACTATATTTTTTTTTAAACAAAAAGTTGTTGAACGCTTCTTTGCTAATCAATACAATACAATCTTGATGCAAAATATTGCAAATCTTACATAATTTTTGTAAAATCTTGCATTGAGGGACATCCATAATCAAAAAAGAATAATAGTGCGATTTCGAAATATGAGGAAACTGTAAATTTCAAACATCTTTTTAATTGAACATGTTATTAAACATTTTAATTTGTACTTCAATATAACATTAATATTTGTAAAATGAATTTTCTAACTTTTTTAGATACGCATTTTTTCTGAAATCTTTCAAAATTGCTCAAGATTTCATTTAGGAGTTTAATATAATTTGGTCACATGTTCAGAAATACGACATATTTTTGTATCAACCTCGAAGCTCGTGTATGAAGCTGTGTTTGCTCGAGACTACAAATAACTCTCCTATTTGTTTTTTACAACGATTTGTCACATTAAAAAAATTGCACCAATAGTTTTTCCAAAATCTTTTCTGTGTGTAATGTACAGCACAATGCCTAAAATATATCAAAGATTTAGAAAAATTTAAGTAACACAGATCCATACACATCCATACCGGTAAAGACATGTCCAAAGATGTTCCGCTAACTGTAAATATTACCCTTTTCATCATTCCTTTAATCAAATTTAACTGGACAGTTAAAATAAAACATCCAAAAATTAATTTCAACACTAAGGAGTAAGTATTTTCTTTCATTTCCACCCCATAAATACTAAAAAAAAATGACCGAAAAAGGGAAAGAATAGAAAAAATACCTTATAATGATTAAAGAGAACTATATTCGTGATATGTTATTGTTAATTTTAGTAAAGATGGGAGGACTTTTGAAAATGGCTTGTGTTAAATAGATTAAAAAAAAATTGTTCCTACTTCTTTTCATATTTAATATCTATAAGTTTTAAAAGTGTATAAACTCTGCCATTGATTTCATTTGTTTTTTTTTTTTAAATTTGAATGTTTAACCTATGAAATCTTTGCCTATATAAATTATCTATTTCAGTAAATGCGAATGATGTAAACATTTGTAAGCAACCTTTATATTATGATATGGACACATTGTATATAATTCGAGCCCAGAATAAAATATACAGTCGTAATTGTGAACTCAGATTTCTGGACTGGAATGATGCTATTGTCGGACAACCTTGTGTTAGTTTATGTGTCCGTGTACATAATAATTCTATGAAAAGCTGTGATTTTCGAATGACATATTATGACGGTCTTGGAGATCTAAATGCTCAGGTAAGTGGTTAACTCAATAAATGGTTTGAGAAAATGAAAATAGATATAAAAACTGTAAAATTTTTCAATTTAATCTCAAAGTATTGTAATGCTTTTTTATTGGAAACATATCGTTATATTATTTTGGCCATATTATTATTGTAAGGTATTTATTTCTCTTGTGTATAAGGACAATTTTGCAGTATCCATGCAACCCACTTTAGATTTGGCTTTTCATTGGTTTATTCAAATACGATATTAATTATATTAATGGTTTCAAACTTTGATCACGAACACAAACACCGAGGTAGTAAAGTTTCATGATGACATGTGAAAGTAGATGCCCATTTGATATTCCGGGTTGGTCGAGAGGTGGGGGTTTTGTAATACTATTCTGTGTATATGGAATTTAAACGAAAACAGCGATTCAACTTTGGAATGATTTATTACATATTATATTTCCAGTTGGTTAATTATTTATGTGATTTAAGTACTAGGGTTTTTAAAAATTTGAGTTCACTAAAATGAATGCTGTGGTTCGATATGATCGACCAAAGGACAACGATGTGAAATATTCAAGGTCTAGGTAGGACATTCAACAGTGATCAAAACCCATAGCGTATTGTTACCTATAACTTGGATGGAGAGTTGTCTCATTGGCACTCATACCACATCTTCCTATATCTATATAATGTGAAACAATTAAAAAGAGAGAAAAAATGGACTGATGTATACTACAATAATAAACAGAAACAATGACAAACAGTTACCAACGACAACCACAGTTACCAACGACAACCATAGATTACAGGCTCTTGACTTGGAGCAAGAACATAAGGAACGTAGCGGCGTTTAATATTATAGTTAGCGTTTAAACATACTTATTAACTGTGACAATGTAACCTATATGTCACATTCTACTATATTCAACTCTGTAATATCATTTAAAGCCCATGGTTAAGTTTCCAATTGTGATTCTTTAAGCTTTTATCATTGTTTTTACCCCCATTTGGTATCTTCTCCTTATTTCACTGTAATTTCACATTAGGACTATGCTAGCCCAAAACGCGAAAGTTGCATTTTTTCAATAAATTTCACCGATGTTTTTTAACGTTAATTCGTCAACTTTTGATTTTGATTACATGTAAGTATAGATAAAGCTTGTTAATTAAAGGCACAAGAGGAATGTTTTGACGGAACGGGTGAATAGTATGATTCTCATCAGTTAAGAATTTTTAAATTTTTAAATTCTATTTTATTTCAGAGTTTTGACTGTCATTCATTTCCGCCAATATTATGGTGTTCTAGAAAAAATGAAATTAAAATAGAGTTTACTGAATTGAAAAAATATAAAGGATCCGGTTATGACATAACCCTTGAGGTGACCTCCTACTGTTCCCATGATGAGGATTCTACTAAAGGTATGTCGAAGAACAATTAAATGTATCAAATTTAGAATTACTAATAATATTGGCAGATTTCATTTGTAAATAAACCCATGAAGAACATTGAACTGAAACATTTTAATTAAGAGGAGTGTATGCTACTTATATTACAAGAAAACTTCAATCAGAACACTTTCGTCTTCAAATGTTAACATTATATTATATCAAATACTTCGGGAAACTGTTGGGGAAATCGTTTATAGTTTGATTGACCCTTTGGTGTGCTCGATTATTACACCACCAAAGAAGCAATCATAAAAAAAACCATTCTATCGTAAAGTAAAGTAATTGTGTTTATATTGTAGATTCCGACAGGTATAAATATAATTTACTGAATTATAAATGTTATCACATTCTGTTAGATTAAGATAAAATTTGTTTTGCAGATGAATAAGATTGAAAATATTTTATTTGTTTTTCATCACCATGAAAACAATACTTGTTTACAAATAATAAACTACACGACGTATTCTATATAAATAAACTACATGAAAGCTAGTTCTCTAAAATACACGATCTTTTGTCTTAATTTCATAAATGATTATGAAACTGAGCATTCGATGTTTCAATGATAAAAATGATTAAAACAAAAATCAGTTTCGGTTTTTATAATGATATGTCATTTATTTATTTTGGTATTATTATAGGCACTGATTCCGGTGTAAAGCGGAAGGGCGATTCGTATAATGAAGAGAAAAGGAAGGAAGAGAAAAGAACTAGAGATACAGTTATCATTGCCGGTTCCCTTGTTAGCACAGTTTCGTTTATACTAGTTATTTGCTGGGTAACATATTGTTGCTGGAAACGGCAACATCCATCAGATTCCGTGTCATCAAATAGACCACATGTAGCCGGCAGCAATACATCTTCATCAACACCTAAATCAGAAGGTATTGAACTGTGTATTGAATACTTGCATGGGCGTTCCTTCTTAATTTAAAAGGATGATACTTTCCGTTTCTAAGAACATTGGCAACATATCATGTGCTCCTAAAACAAGAACAAATAATTAGACATTTGAAACACTGAATGTTTACAAGTATATATTAAGTTATGGGAGCAAACCGGCGTCCTCTTTAAATTGGTTAGGTAAGATTAGTATAGATTTATAGCTCTCAAACATTTTGTAAAAGCCTGATTGTCGCCATCACGTAATTAGATAATCATAATTGCTTAAATGTACATTGCACATTAGATTTTTAATTTACTTAACTTATTCTGTAACTAAAACCAGTAAATGCATAATTACTTTTTTATTAACATTAGCACAGGAAAAATATCATCAAATTTGGGGGATTTTAATGAAATACATCATTAAATGGTGTTTGAGCAAAATTGAATTTCTATTACTTTGCATCAAACATTCGACTTGATATAAAACTTTAAAAGTTTGATGCACCCTGGGGCAGATAAGTCTCTGAACCTAAATCATGGTTGATATCTTATGCATCGATAAAGAATTATAGATAAAAATTCAAGCACAACTAACGGGTTCATATATTCCTATTATATAGGGCGGACCATAACACCTGAACCCTAGTAATTGTTTAAAATATAAGTAAAAATCTGATTTAAATGTGATTTGAGATGTTTGAACAGCTAGAGAAGGCATGGAATCTGATAGAATTTCATAAAGATTTATGCAGGTATATTGAACATGAACGGAACACAAATGAAAACTTAAGCTTGAGCAACATGGCTTTAGCTGCTCTTGGGGATTTTCATCACAATACTGCCCTGCGATGAGCAGTATATTGAGTTTATTTCCAATTCCTTTGTTAATTGTAACCACGGCAAAGTATGACATGAAAGTATATATTCAGATAGGCATATTAGTTAAAAATATATTAAGTCTACAAAAAAGATTATCGGATTTCACAATCATAGTAAAGGACGAGGAACTCCAAGCACAAACAGTGCGTATAGTTGTGAATAATAAACATTTAGAAACAAAAGTAAGAATGTCTTTGTTATATGATATTTACAGGATCCGGTCAAAGACCATGTCAGTATTCAGCATGTGCTACAACAGGAACGACCACTCAACAGTATTACCAGCCACAAGGAAGACAATTTTTACAACAGAAACCAACACATCCATATGTCAATGCTTATAATTACCCACGTTCTAATACAGATAGGTAAAAGGTTTATACTATAATCTATGCAGTAATACTTCCTTAGAAATGTTTATAATACTACAAAGTATGATTTGATTTTAGTTACATCACGCGTTAAGTAAGAAACATGTAAAAGTTATCTCTAAATTGCTAAATTAAAAACAACTTAACAAATCAGTAATTTCAAATCGTGTCTGCGTGTCTTTCCTGTAATTTAAAACATGTGACATGTAGTAGTTAAAACTGGATGTTTTTTTCTTTTTTTAATGGTTACTAATTACTGCATGACCGTTTAAATATATAGAATTCCAATTAATTTTATTTCAAGATTCTTTATTTCTCAAACACCATATAGTTACAATGGTACAAAGAAGTTCATCAAAAGTTATAACATAACATAAACACACATGACAAGATGAGAAGAAAAAATAAAATAAAACAAAATAACACAGTAGTGGCGAAGAGTGGTGATTAACCAGGAAGACTTGCTTGAAAAGTTATAACCCTGATAAATTTGCACAGCTTTTTTAACTTATTTTTTAATTTTAACTGAAATAGTTTTCCAAACTTTAGTATATTACTTCTGTGCAAGAAAAAAGTATCCAAATATTGTGCTCGAAAGTTTGTCAAAGAACTACACTGCAAAATGTAATGAAATTCATCCCCAATCTCGTTACAATGACATAAATTACAATATCTATAGTTACGTTCAATTTTATTCCATCTACCAGTTTCGATGGGTAACTTGTGGTTTCCCGTTCTAAATCTACAATATGTTATTCTATCTTTATCACTTAAAATATTCAGATATTCTTCATATTCAAATTTTTGTTTAAACAATTTGTAGGCCAAACGTTTTGATGAACAGTCAATATCTGCTCTCCATTTCTGTTGAAACTGATCAAATAACCTTTGTTTTAAACATATACCCAACCATTTAGGATTAAAATTTCCTTGTGACAACCATATATTGCTGTATCCACATCTATCTAATGTATCTTTAACGTATTTCAACCAATCTGACCTAAATTGGTTGTCAGAATTCTTCAAGATCATGTATCTGTATAATATTTTAGCAATCCTGTTATCATTCCCATTTACCATTTTTGACCAAAAATTAACCATACGCAGCTGTATATATAAAGACATGGGATAAATACCAAGTTCACCATAAATCATAAAATTAGGTGTCGACTTCTTAAGGTTAAGTAATAGTTTACAAAATTTTAAGTGCACTCTTTCTATAATATCAGTATTACTGAAACCCCAAATCTCGCATCCATATAGTAGGATTGGCTTCACAATTTTATCAAATAGATCATATTGAGATTTCACTGACAAGTTGTGCAACCTCCCCTTTTTCAATACTTTATACATTGCTTTATTTGCTTTTCGAACTAAAATTTTCTTAGCACTCATAAAGCTACCTGTTCTTGAAAAATTCAACCCAAGGTATGTCAGTTCATTAACTATCTCCAATGCATTTCCAGCATAAATAAAATTAATATTTTTGGGTAATCTACCACTAGAAAAAATTATAATCTTAGTTTTACTAGTGTTTACTTTCAATTTCCAGGTTCTGCAATAATCATGGAATATATCTAATTGCAACTGTAGATCAGATGCATTATCAGAAAATAACACTGTATCATCTGCGTACAATAACACAAAAAGTTTTAGGTATATATCAAACTCATCCTCTATTTCATCAGTAATACAATTTAAACCACATACATTTTTTTCTTCAATAAATTGCTGAAGATCGTTCAAATATAAAGAAAATAAAAAAGGAGACATATTTTCACCCTGTCTTACACCAATATTACATGAAAAGTATTCTGACATTTCACCATTAAATACAATGCGAGATTTAATACCAGTGTACATATTAAAAATTACGTTATAAATTTTACCGTTAATATCATTTATAAGTAATTTATGCCAGAGACCCTCTCGCCAAACAGTATCAAAGGCTTTAGCAAAATCAACGAATGCACAGAATAGTTTCTTTTTCTTATTTTTCATGATACTAATAAGCATGTAAATAACAAATAAGTTATCTGTAGTTGAATAACCTTCTCTGAAACCAGCTTGATTTTGACATAATAAACAAAAATCATCAGAAAATTTATTCAATCGTGAATTCAAAATAGAAGTGAATAATTTTCCAAAGCAGCTTATAACTGTTATAGGTCTAAAATTGCTAGGATCATGTTTGTCTCCTTTATTCTTAAATAAAGGTATTATATTTCCAGAAAGCCAAATATCAGGAATAATACCACTGTCAAATATGATATTAAAAAGTTTCACAAACACCTGTGACATAACACTAAATGAGTGTTTCAAATATTCATTTACAATCATATCATCACCCGAGGATTTATTATTTTTCAATTTTCTCAAAGATTTTTCAATTTCCTCTTCTGTAATAGGTGAGTTTAATATATCATTTAAATTTTCTACATTGTTCTGATTTTCTAAAACAATCTCATCATCTTCAGAATTTCCTAAATTTAAATTCTTAAAATAATCAAACAAAATATTAATAGGTATACATGGATTGTTTCCCCTTCTACCACCGTTCAATATCTTCCAGTATTCTTTCGGGTTAATCGATCTTAAGCTTTCTATCTTATTTCGAATGAAAGCTACTGAAAAAAATAGTTTCAACTATTTTACGAGCGCACGTTAATTTGCTTGAACCGTTTTCGTTATTTTCAGGTATATACAATTTCCAGACTCTGGAATTGACATGAAAGAGTCTTTTGTACAATATAAAAGCCAACCACCAACCAGAGACGTACATTTCCAAGATGAACATTTTCTAAGTTTGGACCATATGGAAGGAGGACATTCATATGATGCTGATGATGATAGCCCAGAGAAAGACATAACACCACCTGTACCTCCAAGACCAAATTTAACTCAGCATCAAGGAAGACAATACTTTATATGAATAAATTGTATTTGTATAAATCTAATCCTTATGGATTATGGTAGAGAGAGAGAGAGAGTTTTAACACAATTTCGTAACAAACTCCATAGATATTTGTACACTTTATTTGAGATCAGTGCTCAATTTTCATCACAATTGATTAACTTGATCCAAAATTGGGTAATCATTTGACCATGGAAGTATTATAGTGTCAATATAATACTTCCATGATTTGACCAATCTTCATCAATCTATGTTGGTATTGTCTCGCTATTTCTTTGTAAAAGTTAAAAAAAAACATTTATTGAGTTATATTATGTTGAGAAAGTAAAGTGTTGTCTTGTATGAGCTTATCGATCAATTCCTAAACCAGATAATACTGAAGTGTCTGTTTTCCTTGGTTTCGAAGAAAATCGGACAAATAGTAATAATTACAGTAAACACCGATATCAAATGTGGTATTATTGAACAATGAATGTATTAAATGTACACAATATATAAACAATACAGTTAACCATGACCACAAGGAATATTTCCTTTTTAGGCTTTGATCACCTTCCAAGACGACGGTTGTTGCATACAAATAAAAGTAAGATATTGTAACCCTTCTATAACAAATGATATATATGTCAGTGTTTGGTAAGACTTTGTATAGCCCGAAACTTTAATTTAAATGTTATATGTTCGAATTCCTTTTAATTTTTCAGTGCATTCCTCTTGGTTTTTTGTTTTGTCCTCCGAATTCCTACCTGGTTTTTCCTCAAGCGTATCTGCCTAAGTATTTGTTGCTGATTTGTGTATTCACATACGGGAGCTTTATTGTGTGTGTGAAACGTTTTATTTCAAAAGTACTTCAGAGACTGGATAATTTAAATATAATTAAGTTTATTCATAATAATATTGTGGTCCATCTTAAAATTTGTGATTACAGCTGCAACTGCGGAGAATACTTTACCGTGATTAAACAGATTCTGTTTTAATTTGCTCCCAGATTTGTTTGATATTATATATATAAATGATAACCTTACTTAAAAGAAAATAAATACCTATATAGACTTCATAACGTAACCAGTCAGCTACACCGGTTACATTGCTTAAGGATCGAAATATGATAATCCATTTTTAAAGTTAAGTTCGAGTTATAGTCTTAAATCTTTGAAAAAAAAAATTATACTTCATATCGACTGAACAAAAGGCTGGAGTACTCTGATGCAGAAATGATACTGCAATGGTTCTTCAATCAATGTGTTATTTCTGTGCAGATCTGAAGCATAAAATAAGATGACCCACACCGTGAAAGTTTAATACAGAACCTGAATGCGCATCAAACTCTTTCTAATAAAATCCATGTTATGCACAAATAATGGTATGGTGAACTCACCAGACTCAAGCTAGCGAACACTAAGCCAGCGAACAATAAGATGCATCAAGCTAGCGAACAATAAGCCAGCGAACAATAAGAAAACGCGCCAACATGATCATGCCTAAAAACAGAAGACTTGCAATAACACAAAACGTCCTTTTAATTCTAATGACACTAATTTCCAGTAGGAGAACGAAATGCAATTCCATTTTAACACAGACAAAGTTAATTAGTTATTCGTGTATCTAATACAACTGTTTTTTAACCGGACATCTAAAATTTCTATTAGGTAATCCTTTCTCTTTTTAGTGCTCTCTGATTAGAGATGGGTTTGTTGTTTTTATAATAATGAAACAATTAATAACAATAGTTCACACTGACTAAACTAGTGTACATGTAACGATACAAATAAATCTTCTACTTTACATATGCGTTTGAAAAGAAAAGAAAAATAAATCATCTGATTTTGGAACGTCCAGTATTTTTTGTTAGATTTTCTTTAGAAATAAAAGCATTATACGCAGTTTTCTTCTTTTGTCAAAGAACTAGTTCATTTTTCTAATTATTCAAAAGTATGTCGTCACTCTGGTAATGTATTTACTATATTTCGACAGGAAGAGTGATAAGTGTAAGAGAGGCACCCAAATAGAACGAGAAAAGAATTGACATAAAGATTTTGGTCCAAAGTTGGGGTAGGGTGACCCTACCTCCACCCAATTTTAATTCATAAAAAAGTCCCTACGGCAAAGGTTTTGTCCACACTAGGTACAAATGATAGGCAATTGCCTAAGGTTGCCTGGACCCAAAGACCCAGGTGGGTAAAGTTACGGAACTTTTTTAATTGAGGTCCAAAGTTGGGGTAGGGTGACCCAACCCCCTCCCTTCTTTAATTCATAAAAAAGTCCCTACGGCAAAACTTTTGTCCACACTAGGTACAAATGATAAACAATTGCATAAGGTTGCCTGGACCCCAAAGACCCAGGTGAGTTAAGTTACGGAAATTTTTTAATTGAGGTCCAAAGTTGGGGTAGGGTGACCCTACCCCACCCAATTTTAATTCATAAAAAAGTCACTTCGGCAAAGCTTTTGGCCATACTAGGTATAAATGATAGGTAATTGCCTAAGATTGCCTGGACCCAAAGACCCAGGTGGGTAAAGTTGCGGAACTTTTGTAATTGAGGTCCAAAGTTGGGGTAGGGTGACCCTACCACCACCCAATTTTATATCATTAAAAAGTCCGTACGGCAAAGCTTTTGTCCACACTAGGTACAAATGATAAGCAATTGCCTAAGGTTGCCTGGACCTAAAGACCCAGGTGGGTAAAGTTACGGAACTTTTTTAATTGAGGTCGAAAGTTGGGGTAGGGTGACCCTACCCCACCCAATTTTAATTCATAAAAAAGTCACTACGGCAAAGCTTTTGGCCATACTAGGTACAAATGATAGGTAATTGCCTAAGATTGCCTGGACCCAAAGACCCAGGTGGGTAAAGTTGCGGAACTTTTTTAATTGAGGTCCAAAGTTGGGATATGGTGACCCAACCCCCTCCCTTCTTTAATTCATTAAACATTTCCTTCGGAAAAAGCTTTTGTCCACGCTAGGTACAAATGATAGGCAATTGCCTAAGGTTGCCTGGACCCCAAAACACAGGTGGGTAAAATTACGGAACTTTTGTAATTGAGGTCCAAAGTTGGGGTAGGGGGACCCTACCACCACCCAATTTTAATTGATAAAAAAGTCCCTACGGCAAAGCTTTTGTTCACACTAGGCACAAATGATAGGCAATTGCCTAAGGTTACCTGGACCCAAAGACCTAGGTGGGTAAAGTTACGGACTTTTATTATTGAGGTCCAAAGTTGGGATATGGTGACCCAACCCCCTCCCTTCTTTAATTCATAAAAAGTCCCTCTGGCAAAGCTTTTGCCCACACTAGGAACAAATGATAGGCAATTGCCTAAGGTTGCCTGGACCCAACGACACAGGTGGGTAAAGTTACGGAATTTCTACAACTGAGGTCCAAAGTTGGGATATGGTGACCCAACCCCCACCCAATTTTAATTTATAAAAAAGTCCCTACGGCAAAGCTTTTGTCCACACTAGGTACAAATGATAGGCAATTGCCTAAGGTTGCTTGAACCTAAAGACCTAGGTGGGTACAGTTACGGAACTTTTATTATTGAGGTACAAAGTTGGGATAGAGTGACCCGACCCCCTCCCTTCTTTAATTCATTAAAAATTTCCTACGGCAAAGCTTTTGTCCACGATAGGTACAAATCATAGGCAATTGCCTAAGGTTGCCTGGACCCAAAGACCCAGGTGGGTAAAGTTACAGAACTTTTGTAATTGAGGTCCAAAGTTGGGGTAGGGTGACCCTACCACCACCCTTCTTTAATTCATAAAAAACTCCCTACGGCAAAGCTTTTGTTCACATTAGACACAAATGATAGGCAATTGCCTAAGGTTGCCTGGACCCGAATACCCAGGTGGGTAAAGTTATGGAACTTTTTTAATTGAGGTCCATAGTTGGGGTAGGGTGACCCTACCACCACTCAATTTTAATTCATAAAAAAGTCCCTACGGCCAAGCTTTTGTCCACACTAGGTACAAATGATAGGCAATTGCCTAAGGTTGCCTGGACCCAAAGACCCAGGTGGGTAAAGTTACGGAACTTTTTTAATTGAGGTCCAAAGTTGGGGTAGGGTGACCCAACCCCCTCCCTTCTTTAATTCATAAAAAAGTCCCTACGGCAAAACTTTTGTCCACACTAGGTACAAATGATAAACAATTGCCTAAGGTTGCCAAGACCCCAAAGACCCAGGTGAGATAAGTTACGGAACTTTTTAATTGAGGTCCAAAGTTGGGGTAGGGTGACCCTACCCCACCCAATTTTAATTCATAAAAAGTCACTACGGCAAAGCTTTTGGCCACACTAGGTACAAATGATAGGTAATTGCCTAAGGTTGCCTGGACCCAACGACACAGGTGGGTAAAGTTACGGAACTTTTTTAATTGAGGTCCAAAGTTGGGGTAGGGTGACCCTACCACCACCCAATTTTAATTGATAAAAAAGTCCCTACGGCAAAGCTTTTGTCCACACTAGGTATGAATGATAGGCAATTGCCTAAGGTTGCCTGGACCCAAAGACCCAGGTGGGTAAAGTTACAGAACTTTTATAATTGAGGTCCAAAGCTGGGATATGGTGACCCAACCCCCTCCCTTCTTTAATTCATTAAAAATTTCCTCGGCAAAGCTTTTGTCCACGCTAGGTACAAATGATAGGCAATTGCCTAAGGTTGCCTGGACCCCAAAACACAGGTGGGTAAAGTTACGGAACTTTTGTAATTGAGGTCCAAAGTTGGGGTAGGGTGACCCTACCACCACCCAATTTTAATTGATAAAAAAGTCCCTACGGCAAAGCTTTTGTTCACACTAGGCACAAATTAATGATAGGCAATTGCCTAAGGTTGCCTGGACCCAAAGACCTAGGTGGGTAAAGTTACGGACTTTTATTATTGAGGTCCAAAGTTGGGATATGGTGACCCAACCCCCTCCCTTCTTTAATTCATAAAAAGTCCCTCTGGCAAAGCTTTTGCCCACACTAGGAACAAATGATAGGCAATTGCCTAAGGTTTCCTGGACCCAACGACACAGGTGGGTAAAGTTACGGAATTTCTACAACTGAGGTCAAAAGTTGGGATATGGTGACCCAACCCCCACCCAATTTTAATTTATAAAAAAGTCCCTACGGCAAAGCTTTTGTCCACGCTAGGTACAAATGATAGGCAATGGCCTAAGGTTGCCTGGACCCAAAGACCCAGGTGGGTAAAGTTACGGAACTTTTGTAATTGAGGTCCAAAGTTGGGGTAGGGTGACCCAACCCCCTCCCTTCTTTAATTCATAAAAAAGTCCCTACGGCAAAGGTTTTGTCCACACTAGGTACAAATGATAGGCAATTGCCTAAGGTTGCCAGGACCCAAAGACCCAGGTGGGTAAAGTTACGGAACTTTTTAATTGAGGTCCAAAGTTGGGGTACGGTGACCCTTTCACCACCCAATTTTAATTCATAAAAAAGTCCCTACGGCAAAGCTTTTGTCCACACTAGGTACAAATGATAGGCAATTGCCTAAGGTTGCCTGAACCCAAAGACCAAGGTGGGTAAAGTTACAGAACTTTTATAATTGAGGTCCAAAGCTGGGATATGGTGACCCAACCCCCTCCCTTCTTTAATTCATTAAAAATTTCCTCGGCAAAGCTTTTGTCCACGCTAGGTACAAATGATAGGCAATTGCCTAAGGTTGCCTGGACCCCAAAACACAGGTGGGTAAAGTTACGGAACTTTTGTAATTGAGGTCCAAAGTTGGGGTAGGGTGACCCTACCACCACCCAATTTTAATTGATAAAAAAGTCCCTACGGCAAAGCTTTTGTTCACACTAGGCACAAATTAATGATAGGCAATTGCCTAAGGTTGCCTGGACCCAAAGACCTAGGTGGGTAAAGTTACGGACTTTTATTATTGAGGTCCAAAGTTGGGATATGGTGACCCAACCCCCTCCCTTCTTTAATTCATAAAAAGTCCCTCTGGCAAAGCTTTTGCCCACACTAGGAACAAATGATAGGCAATTGCCTAAGGTTGCCTGGACCCAACGACACAGGTGGGTAAAGTTACGGAATTTCTACAACTGAGGTCAAAAGTTGGGATATGGTGACCCAACCCCCACCCAATTTTAATTTATAAAAAAGTCCCTACGGCAAAGCTTTTGTCCACGCTAGGTACAAATGATAGGCAATGGCCTAAGGTTGCCTGGACCCAAAGACCCAGGTGGGTAAAGTTACGGAACTTTTGTAATTGAGGTCCAAAGTTGGGGTAGGGTGACCCAACCCCCTCCCTTCTTTAATTCATAAAAAAGTCCCTACGGCAAAGGTTTTGTCCACACTAGGTACAAATGATAGGCAATTGCCTAAGGTTGCCAGGACCCAAAGACCCAGGTGGGTAAAGTTACGGAACTTTTTAATT